TTGGTTGCGTCTGCGGAGGCGTCGAAGAAGCTCTCTGTTGTGCCGGTTGTGGTGGAAGCGGTGTCGTCTTCTGTGCCATCCGTGACGAGATCGCGAACGACAGGGCTTCCGGGGATGAAGTTGGTCGGACCTCTGGTGTCTTCTTTGCCCGGAGAGGCGGGCTCAGAGTGCTCTCTGTGCCACTTTTCGCGGCGCAGGCGCATGCGCTCTGTTGGCCAGTCGTCGCCGAATTGCACGACGGAGGCTTGCTTGCCGTGCAGGATGAAGCGGCCTTGGGCGCGCTCGAGGCCGGGGGTGGCTTCTGGGAAGTCCGGGTTCTCGGCTTCGGCTGAGCGGACTGTGCTTTCGCTCTCCTTATTGCGGCGGTGGCGCTGGGAGACTGAACTGTTGTGGTGGACGTCGCGGAGAGTTTTTTGCAAGCTGCGACGCTTGCCTTTGGCTGTCTTGTTGCTTTCGGGCGTAGATGCCACGCCGTCGAGGTTCATGGTGCGCTGGATCGCCGAGTCAGGCGTGCGGACCTCTTCTTGCGGCACCTGGTTAGAATCCTCGCCGCCAACGCTGAGAGTTCGAGTGATGGTGTGCAGGGTTTCCGAGCGGTCTGGCGAATTCAGGCGGTGGTGTTGTCGGCTGGAGGTCGAAGAAGCTGACCAGCTGTGCTGCCTTTGCGAAGTGCCGGATGCGGCGGTGAGTAGAGTGCTAGCAATGGATCCACGGTGCTTGTCTTGCTGCTGCTCTACGTCAAACTGCAGCGGAGGCAGGCGCCAACCGTCTCCACCTGGAGAAGATGGACTCTCGACCGTACTACGGAAGACGTCGTCCACAAAGGTATCCATGGATTCGGTGGTTGAGGGTCTTGGACGCCTGCTGGTAGGCGATCTTTCACTTTTGGCGGGCGAACTTGTGCCTTGTGGTTGGCTGCGACTGCGCCCGCTTACCTGTGAGTTCATCCGTGGCATCTTCTTCGCCGTGTCTGGTGTATCGACCAGCTTGTCGCCAGCATCACCGCCGTCTTGCTGAATGTCCAGTGACAGGATGTCACGATGGCATCTCATCTTCCAGATGTCACGGCGAACCCAGGTCAACAGAGCATCGCTCCTCCCAGCAGCAACAACAATGTCTTCACGCGTCTTTGGCGGGATAGGAGCAAGTACTAGGAGATGGCGAGCATTGCGTAGAATGTCATCGTGTTGCTTTTGCAGATTGGCGATCTCCTTGTCGTATTCTCCGATCTTCTGCACCATGATCTGCCGTCTCGCGGTCATGACTTGACGGGTGAGTCCTTGATCGTAGCCGGAGCCTTTGCCAGCGACTTCGCTAGTTGCAGACGTAGCTGTGTGTGCAGATGTGGGCCGGTGGAGGTCGCGCGAGCGGGAATATTCGTCATTCCCAGAGATCATGCCACGAATGCGCACGCCAGCAGCTCTGAAGGCTGCCGCATAGTTGATAAGGTTAATCCAGTCAATGAGTTCACCCTCGTTGTCGGCCAGCAAAACTTCCTCTTGGCCGCCAGGTCGGACGAATGTGAACGCGTTCTTGTGTCTCTGGTACGTGGAATCCACAAGAGCGACAGCGTTGTCGGTCTTGATAAGGGCGTCAGGCTTGAAGTCGGTAAGTGGAGGTGAAAACGTTACGGGCATTCTCGGGGCACCTTGTCGCTGATGGGACATGAATTGGTGCACCAGGCCCTTTGCCCAGGAAGCGTTCTTGAAGAGGTACAGCTGTGAACCTGTGAGGATTGCGCCCCACTCTTGCCATGGCGAACGAGCCTTCTTTTTCTTGGCTGCCTTCCTCCAGAGCGTTCCGACCTTGGTAATTTTGAGATCGACAATTCCTTGCTGGGTTTCGACCGCATGTGGGTTTGCAGTGTTGACTTGGCCTTCGTATGCCGCTGGCCGTGATCGAGCGGAGATGATTTGGAGTGTTCCGGTATGTGTGAAAGCTCGCTGCAGGTATTGCATGTCAAGTGGTGTTTGGCCACATGTGTAGTTGTACGGATCTTCCAGCAGTATCGAATCTTTGATTGGAGGCCGCAGGAGATCCAGTTTTTGCTCCACCAAGAGGTTGTACGGGTCGACCGGGCCAGAGACCTTCTTACCGGAATCCGTGATAGCACCTTTCAATTTGCTCTTCTTCGTCGTGAAAGGAAGCACTCTTTCACCATTGACGTCCACTTCCTCCTCGTAGTGTACGAAAGGTGTATAGCAGATGTTGTCGTAGAAACACCCAAGGACATCCTCACTAACGTGTTGCCCAGAAGTATTCTTGACGTAATCCTGCTTCTGCATCTTGCGTTTGTTGTTGCGATTGAATGCATCCGTGTGCAGCATCATGAGCGAAAATGCTATAATGTACGCCTGGTCCGATGACATGAAGATTCCAGGGTTGCACTCATGATATCTGTCGGCGAATGCCTGAATAACACGATCGACTTGTTGAGTCTCCTTGGGAAGGTCGGCCTCGAGTAGGAACTTGCGCAAAGACATGTCGATTGGCTCGCCGAAGAAGGGGAATCGACGGGTGTAGCTGCGTAACACCGCCTGTGCGAATGGATCTGAGGACTTTGAAAGGATCTCTGCGATCATGCTTCGGTTCACAGCAGCTTCGAGTCGTTCAAGATACTTTCCAGGTGTGTCGCCTTCTTCTCGCTCAGGCACTACCAACGCTTCTCTACTCAAGGCGAACGAATTAGACTTGCTCCTAGACGAAGGCGACCCAGTTCGCGGCGATTGCGATTCCGAGCCTTGTCGAAAGCGGGACAGACCCAAGAAACCACCAAGACTGGCCCTTCCAGTGGTTGACGTTGAAGTTCTCCCACTTCCGCCCGCTTGGGCTGTATCCATCGACCCGCGTCCCCAAGAGCTCGTTGTTGATGCGCGGTCCCTCAAGCCAAATCGCATCGGTGGCCTCAATGGTGAAGAGAAGGAGGAGTCGCGCGACCACTGGGTCTCTTCGCGTTCAAGAGGCCTCCCCGTATCGGACAGCACAAGAGAGCTTGAAGCATTCGTGTGAGGAGACGATGCGAGCTGATTCTGATGGGCCTGTCGCCTGGTCGGGCTCGTTTCGGTGTGTCGTCTGAAACGTGTTGTTGCAGGTTCGCTTCGTGAATCGGTAGACTGTCGGCTTTTGATCGATACAGCGCTCGTCGATGCGCGAGGCGTTGCGGGTCCGTTCGGTGACTGACTCCCGTCGGGCGATGGTATCTTGACAGGCAAGGGGAATAGTGAGTTGCGGTTTTTGTTTCTTCGCGGAAGCTTAAAGAATGTCGTGTGCGTGGATACTGTGTGAGTCGTCGTAGTCGTACTGCCGTAGATCTGATGGTCGCCAGAACTGCCGCGGCTTCCACTTGATCGCGAAGACTCCGAGAAACGAGGCGCAGGAAGGGCCAGTTCTGAATCGTTGTCGTTTCCGTACGCAGGAGGAGCGTCCTTGTGTGAATTCGCCGCGGACAGTCGCTGCAAATCTTCCAAGCCAGTGCTCCTGCCTTGCAACTTCCGCCATTTCGATGTAGACTTCCTTTCCTTCCTTTCCTTTCCTCTGGCGTGATCTTGCGACAATCGCGACATGTCAGAAGCCATGCTTTTGGTCTTTTCCAAAGTTTTCGTCGAAGGCGCACTCCGATTCTGCTCGGCAGTAAGCACTTCGTGATCAAATGTCGGCGCAGTCTTCACGATGGCAGGTGTATTAACTGGAATTGAACATTGTCAGCGCCTCCATTCACGGATACCCGACCCGACGCGGTACGACAGAACTCACCTCTGCTTAGCGCCGGCATAGGCGGAACCTCCTCTCTTGCGGCATCCTCCCTTGCTCGGGTGGACAGATGCGATTCGGAGAAGTTGCGAAACTTCAACATGCTGAAGCGTTTGGTCCGGGCATTCTCAGGTTGGACAGGCGGCGAGGTCGGGCGATCCGGTGGGAGGGTAGCGGTCGAGAGACGGGAGGTTGGCGGAGCATACTCGCTGGTCGGACGTGGGGACGTGGGTGGCAGGGCGAGAGAGGTGGTGCTGGAGCGCGCAACGCTTTCGGTGTCGGTGGGCTGGTGGGAGTCGGTCTGGTGGGCGTCGGGCTTTGGGTTGAAGACGCTGCGGCGGCGGAGGAGTAAAGGCATGGCCGGCACGCGCAACTACATCTACAGAGTTGGCAATATTATGCGGTGGTGGTGATGGTACGGCTGACGGTGGTAGAGGGATGTTCAGAGGGTAGCGATGGTCGTGGGAGCCATGGCACGGCACGCGAGACAGCGCAGGCAGCACATGGGTAGGCGGGGATGCACGAGGGGGTGAGACAGGAGTGGTAGAGGGAGTGTTTGGTGGCGGGTTTGAAATGAAGTTGACGTTGACGTTGACGGTGGTAGTGAGTAGTGAAGGAGGCCCAGACCACATGTCATTCATTCTAAGTTGGGTTCCTTGGTTGTTGGCTAACTAACGTACTGTAAGGCTGAAGCTACCACCACCTGAGACGCGCGGAAACAAACTAAAAATTAATTAATCGGAACGAATCACTACCAGTGTCGCCCATATGTGTCCCTGTGTTGCCTCAGCCTGTCAGCCTGTCTGTACCCCAAGAGCGAAGTGAGCAGCAGCCTCCGTGAAGACGTGCGGGTCCGATTGATTACTTCACTCTTATGATGATATGACTGCCTGGCTGATTCACGTATACCTACAGTGCTACGCGTCATGATCTATCTATTGAATCTATTCTTTCTTCGCGTTATGCTTGAACCTGGAAATGTCAAGGTCAAGATCACTTTGTGCTTTCTTCCCCTTGTGTCCCTGATCGTCCTCTCCTCCGGAGGCTAGTCCAAACTCTACCCCCCGGCACTTTCAAATCCGAAATCCCTTCGCCCGTTCCACCGCATCTCTCGGGGGACAAATCAATTGGGACGTATTCGAGAGATGCTGGCAGTACTTTGTCCTAGTTTATTTGTCTCCTGGAAGTGCATGAATACCTGACCTCCGCCATGTCTTCCTGTTCCTGTCCTAGGCCTAGGTACTTGTACCCAACACACATCTAACGTCAGCTCAAGAATGACATCCACACACTCTTATGGTACACCAACACATAGCCCTAGGTCTTGACATTACAGCCCAACTCGATCTACAGTTACTACGCTACCTTACAGTATCCAGCTCCGCCCCATCATGAACGGATCTTCTCATCGCCTTACCCAACACACACATTCCGTCAGCTGAAGTTCAGAATGGCAGTTTAGTGATGGATTGATGTAATCTGCCTTTTAGCTGGCCAAATCTTGATGCATGTAGCCGATGAGAGGTGCCCGCTCCAGAGCCTCAGATGTTTTGTAGGATGATGATACCTAGGTTGAGGTACCTAGTAAACAGTCTGATTCAAACGCGTGTGCGCGATCGCTCGGAGTCGTAGACATCGCGGGTGTACTCGAATCGTCGTAGCGTGCTTTCATTTTTGCCGGTGACCGCGATAATCACACTTGTCTAACGTACCTACACACTAACGTGAGTCAAACGAGAATATAGTAAGTAATACAAATTCATTTGCGAATTCCAAAAAAACAAGAAAGTAGGTACCTAACCTAACCACAAAAAGACCGACCTAGATAGCGCGCGGCAAGCCATCGCTCTGGTTCTGATGATGAGCTTGAGCACTTTCGCTGCCACTGCCGCCGCCGCTGCTATTGACGCGCCCCGACGCCTCGCTAGTGGAAGAACCCAGATCCTTGAAATCAAAAGCAGAGGAAGGCCCAATGACCGTGCGCCTGTTCTCTTTGGCGTCT